CAGTGATAATGCTGAAAGTGCCTTTTGATGGTCCTAGAAAAGCAATAACCGTATGGGTAGATTCCTAGCGTCTGCGTAGGGACAAGAGCGTTGTACCAGTAAGTAATCCACGAACTACCATATAAATAGGAGGCAAAATTGCGTGGGAAGAGAGGAAAGAAAGTTAGAAGACTGGTGGTGATTGCATGGTGCATGAACTGCAAGTTGTCAGCATAATGAGGTACGGGGTCCAGAGAAAGAAAGTAAAAATAAATAGTTTGCCGCGAGACAGATCTAAAGGACAATCGATTGTAGGGCAGCGGAAAGGTTGGACGCAGACACTTTAAGAGAATAAAGCTTATTGAAATAAGGAGCAGCTTCTAACAAGCTATGGATACTCGCAGAGGCACGGGGCCTACGACCACTAGCTGCTTATAAACAGAGGTGCCGAATGTAAGACGATCGACTGAGGGTGCCGCTAGCAAAGAATACCAGTGGCCAGATGTAGCCATTCCAGTAAGACGCTTGGTCACTAATGTGTGCCTACAGGGTAACAGAATGCATCAAAGAGTCAGCAAAGGTAAGCCATACAGGTACTCCAAGAGAATGTATGATGGAGAGTCGACAAGTGTATCCTAGCGAGCTCCAGATCTGTGCAGAAGGGGCATGGGGCCTACATCGAATCGCTGCAGTGATGAGGAGGATAACAGGAACGACAGATATTGGCGCTAGTAGAGAGCGTATCAGTGGCCAGCAAAAACATTCGGAGTAAGCCTTCTAATTGCCAGCGGATAACTACAATGACAGAATAAGTCAACAACCAGCGAATGTACGTGATGCGAGCAATCCAAGAGAGTAAGAGTTGGAGAGATAAGGAGTGGCTCCTAGCGAAAATATATATACTACCTACACTGACGCGCTGCAGCTGAAAAATGGTGACGCATGTAAGACGAAGAACTGCTAACGGCACTAAGGGAGAGATAGTATCGACAGCTAGCAACTGCTCTTGGGCGTAGCCTTCTAGTTTCTAGTGAATACCTAAAGTGTCCCAGAATAAGTCGACAAACAGCAAAAGTATGTGACGCAGACAGTCCCAAATTGTAAGGGTTGGAGGAATAGAAGTGTGGCTCTTAACAGGCTCCGGTTATGTGCAGAGATGGTTGGAGAATATGAAGAATGGCTGTTGCTAAACAGATGTGCCAGATGTAAGACGAAGAGCTGATAATGACGCTAGAAGAGAGTATCAGTGGTCAGCAATGGCATTTGCAGGAAGCCTTCTGGCTGCTAGTGGATGCGTGGTTCTTCCGACGACAAATACAAAACATGCCAGCATGTTCCATTTGTAGAGTACCTACCGTACAAGCCGTGCCATTTCGTCAGGAAGTGCCAGGACTCATGGGTGATACTGTCCCGCCCCATCATGCATCCACCAGCGAAAATTATGAGTGTATCCTGATTGCGACTAACAGAACCAATAATCGGTCAATAAGAAGCATTGCCAATTGTAGCTCGTCGTTCGAATGCGTTGATGGCAGTGTTCCAGAACGTGGTGGGTTTGCGCCTGGCAAGCGTTCTCCCTATAAAATGCTACAAATGTCCGTTTAACAACACTGGGACGCGGCGGAGGTGACTCGCCACTGAATAAAGTCACTGCCAATAACCTCACACGGACAAGCTGACCATGACTATATACTACCATGATGGATACACCCCGACACTTGCTTGACTGCAAATTTCATCGCCACGTCTTTTTCTGCGCGTTCACCATTGTTCTTTACTCTACACTCACATAAACTCAGCGTATCGTGTAAGCGCGATTGAGCGTGTTCTTCACCAGCTCTTTAATAACTTATTAGTCCTAGTTCTGAATCCATTCATGCCTGATTTGTTACTGCACTTTATGGCAGAACGTATGTACCCACACGAACGTGCCCGGACTCATGGCGATGGGCTTGCTTTGTTTTTATTTCTGTCTTATTTGTACAGTTTTAAATGGGGACGTATGAACAACCTCCGATTGTCACTGTTACAATTGCCGTGACATGTCTGTATAATTTCACTTACTTGATCAGGCCCTCGCGGGCATGCCTCGCATAGCCGAGAATAAATATTTATTTATTTACTGTCCCCAAATAAGTCAACAAACAGCAAATGTATGTGACGCAGACAGTTTCAAAGAATGAAGGCTAAGAACATGAGTGAACGGTTATTAGCATGCTCCGGATATGCGCAGAGATGCATGGTGCCTACGACCACTAGTTGATACTGAACAGAGGTGCTGAGCTTAAGACGATCGACAGATAAAGGCGCTACGAAAAACTTTCGGTGGCCAGATGTAACCACTCTACTACGTATTTTTGTCACTAGTGGATGCCTACAGTGTCACAGAATACATCAATAAGCCATCAAAGGTAAGTGGTACAGACATTCTAAAAGATTACAGGAAGGAGAAAAAAGGAGCGCCTCCTAGTAGCTCCGAATATGCGCAAAGCTGTTTGGAGTCTACAACGAATGGCTGCAGAAAACGTGAAGATAAGAGGAACGACAGATAATGGTGCTAAGAGAGGGAACCAGTGGACAGCAACTGAATTCGCATAAGTCTTCCAGTTATTAGTAAATACTTACAGTGACAGAATAAGGCATATAACAAACGAAAGTATGTGACGCAAACGACCCATGAGAATAACCGTTGGAGAGATAATGAGTGGCTCCTAGCGCAAAGAGGTATGCTACCTAAATGATTCGCTGCAGCTGAAAAGTGGTGACGTGAGACGAAGTACTGATAATGGCGCTAGACGTGAGAATATCATTGAACAGCAATGGCATTGTGGTGAAGTCTTCTAGTTTCTAGTGGATACTTAAAGTGTCCCAGAATAAGTCGACAAACAGCAAATGTATATGACGCAGACAGTCCCAGAGAGCAAAGGTTGGAAGAATAGAAGTGTGGCACTTAGTGGGCTCCGGATATGCGCAGAGATGGTTGGAGTCTACGAAGAATGGCTGCTGCTAATCAGAGGTGTCAGCGGTAAGACGAGGAACAGATAATGGTGTAGGATTGAGAGTATCAGTGACCATCGATGACATTCGGATGAAACCTTCCAGTTATTACTTTATACTTACAATGTCCCAGAATACGTCAGCAACCAGCAAATGTATGCAACGCAGACAGTCCTAAAGAATGAGGGTTGGAGAAACCAGTGCCTTTTGGCAAGCTCCGAGTAATCGCAGATGCACGGGGCCTACGACCACTAGCTGCTTATAAACAGAGATGCCGAATGTAAGACGATCGACTGAGGGTGCCGCTAGCAAAGAATACCAGTGGCCAGATGTAGCCATTCCAGTAAGACGCTTGGTCACTAATGTGTGCCTACAGGGTAACAGAATGCATCAAAGAGTCAGCAAAGGTAAGCCATATAGGTACTCCAAGAGAATGTATGATGGAGCGTCGACAAGTGTATCCTAACGAGCTCCAGATCTGTGCAGAAGGGGCATGGGGCCTACATCGAATCGCTGCAGTGATGAGGAGGATAACAGGAACGACAGATATTGGCGCTAGTAGAGAGCGTATCAGTGGCCAGCAAAAACATTCGGAGTAAGCCTTCTAATTGCCAGCGGATAACTACGATGACAGAATAAGTCAACAACCAGCGAATGTACGTGATGCGAGCAATCCAAGAGAGTAAGAGTTGGAGAGATATGGTGTGGCTCCTATCGCCGTGTCCGGTTCAATGGCAACTACCAGCATAACGGTACCTATGCCTGAATATTAAGCTTTGGTTCCAACCCAGTACTTCTCGAGTTCCGGGATGTGATAGAGTAAGGCTAACAAAAATATTCGCCGTACTCGACGAGATGAAAACATGGTTCTTCTGAGCAAGTTTTTGCATGATATACATTCACGCATTTTGCATGCAGTATCTTGGATATCTAGGTATATTGGCCAACAAACTTGAAATCGTTCGTTTCCTTATTTGTGTATGATATTTAGGCGTCTCTCGGTTATTCATATAGCTTCAGCCTCCTTGTGTACCCATCTTCAGTTAAACATTCCGATAAGCATTGGCACTTAATTTTTATCATACCCATCTCTTATTTTGTTCGGTCCATTAGTGCATTGCGTTAACAACTCCCACGGTGGCTACACGTCATTATTTAGCGACGTCCACCACTGAGAGTAGGCGGTCTGCAACACTCCCTAATAATAACGCCGCGGTACCATCCATAACCAAATTCAAGATCTAGTTCACTGATCTAGTACACTAATGCTGTATTGAAAGTTCTTAACTTTAATTGGAGGGTCAAATTTGGAATACATGTTGTGTGATTGGATTGCGACGCACAATCTCAAAATGGACCGCGGCTCACATTGAAGTGAACCTTGGTCATTGCGATCACTGGGACCGTAGTCAAAGCAGAGGGAAATTGGGTGCTGCCCGCCCGAACACACTGCACAACCACGACGCGTTTCGATGTCATTTCATCTCATCAGGTAGAGATGGCATGCTTCGAACCCGCGATCATTTGGCTAGCAGCGGTAACCTCTACCCCTTTGGCTACCAGGTAAATGCGGGCAACGCTTGGCACAACGGCAAATGTCTAATTGGAGGGTCAACGTTGGAATACACGTTGTGTGATTGGATTGCGACGCACAATCTCAAAATTTACCCAATTTCCATCTGCTTGGACTACGATCCCAGTGCTCGCAGTGACTAAGGTTCACGTCAATGTGAGCTGCGGTCCGTTTTGAGATTGCGCGTCGCAATCCAATCACACAACGTGTATTCCAACGTTGACCCTCCAATTAGACATTTGCCTTTGTGCCAAGCGTTGCTGGTAGTGACCCGGTAGCCAAAGGGGTAGAGGTTACCGCTGCTATCCAAATGATCGCGGGTTCGAGGCATGCCATCTCTACCTGATGAGATGGAATGACATCGAAACGCGTCGTGGATGCGCAGTCTGTTCTGGCGGGCAGCACCCAATTTCCATCTGCTTGCCATCTTGAAAGTCGGGTTAACTCACTTATGAGTGAATTTACCTCGATCAATGACATTCCGTCTAAACTCATGCTCTCAATTCGTTGGACGTGCATACAGGAACCTGAGCAGACATTAGACCCACTAGAGGCAGGTGCACAATTAGATATTCTAACCACCAAAGCTAATCAGCTTATTCGTCGCTCCAACAACGCCATGCTGCTCAACGTGCAAAGCTACCTACTAATTAGAATGATCCTGGGCTTAGGCTCAAACATTTGCAATCTGCGATAAGACAGTCGTATGGCAGGTCACATATGAAAGCTATTTGGACGCACGTGTCTAATTATCTTCAAAGTACGGTGCAAGACCTACCTCATAGGTTTCGTACTAGGCAACGCATTATCAAACGACTGGCTAAGCTTGTGCTTATTTCGAATAAACCCAGTAAATCTCCCTTACTAAGGACACACAAACCTCCGCTACATCAACGACCAGGAATAATGTTCACAAGGCGCTACAGCACACGTCTAATGCCGTATTACACATGGCGACTTGCTCTGTCGATCTGGACTCATCACACAAAAAGTGGAGTGTTCATCTGGAGAGTAAGCACTTGCACGCAAAAAATCAACAACACAAGTATAATCGTTCTGCCCTGCCGGTTACTACCACATGTTGCACCATGCCCGAGGCAAGCAATAACATAACTCAGCACTGCGAGTTCGGCAAGCGCCGTTCTGTCACTGCAGATGCTATCCTGTTCGCTTCATTATCTGAGGCCAATCAACGTCGAAGACGTTGTGACAAAAAGTTAGGTTAGCTTCAAGCAGGTAAGATGATACCCCAGCAGTTTGGGCAGCTCATTGACTTACAGCGGAAATAATAAAAACCCAAGCGCCGGAACCTGCGGACCACCATTAGGAACTTAGTGACGGGGAAGCCAACCTACACTCTACCCGAACACATCACTGCCACTTCCAGAATTTTGGAAAGCCTGTTAAGTGCATGCCCTAATATGCCATGGTCGGCGGCAGCCAGTTCAGGATTTGACTACCAGAGTAGCCTCCACGAGGACTGCCGCAGGAAGCTTGCGCCTACGTATGGATCATGGATGGTTTGCGCTGCGCCACCACAGCTCCACGCACACACACCATAGCCAGTGTGCACCCAAAGAAATATGAAAAGGAGGCATGTGCTTGGGAGCCACGTTTCAGCATCGAAGCCGGCCATAGTGATTTATGTTGCACAACAGAAACTTTCCTGTCGGTCTACTTAGGGGTCATGCTTACCAAAATACACAGCCGGTGGCTGGGCTTTAGTCCGAAGCAAACTGGATAGACCCAGTCGTGGTCCTAGCACCTGAGTAGCTGGTGTACAAAGGGGTCCAAACATGTTGGCTTTGCTTTTGCAACCGTCTGCACGGAACAAAAGGATGTTGGTTTGGGATATATTAGAGAGGAAGAGCCTAATCATTTCCCAAGCCCTCCGTATACCACCCTCCTTCAAAAGGTTAAGACGTTATGGTCTGGAGGGTCCCTGAGATGTTAAGCGCATAACGGTTGAAACGGTGGCGTGTTCACTGTACCCTGTGAGCTCAAATATGGTAAGGGATTTGGGGGTGGCGCTAGGTGTGAACAGTTCAGCTCGAGATAAATATTAGGTCGCCGCCTAGACTGTCTCCTTGGTTTCTGGTCTTGCTGTACTGCAATCGTTTCTGGCAGTATATCAACAGAAACGGATTTGAGGACGTTACTGTTTAGTTGCGTTCGATACTGTATCAAACTCATATGTGAAGTTAGAAACACACAACAGAATGTACAAAAGTTCAAACGCTGCTGCACAACATCCATCTAATCGCGGGAATTATTCCACGGAATTCCACACACGGCTCCTACCTTCAGGACAGTTGGCCTAAGGCTTTTTGCACCTAGTTTGAGCGCACAGATCGTCACCCTGTAGTGGTCGAAAGAACACTAGGAAGGGTTCCTTCTCTTAGTAAGGGCAAAAGTTGGAGAGAGTCAACTCACAGATTAATCACAGTTGAGTTCAAATAGTAGGTTGCGCTATGCCTGTGGCACACTTCGAGCACAATGGAAAGACGTTCGATACTAATTCCGAGTATACTATCCGATCCGCAAACCGACCTGACGGCAACGCGCGCACGCACGCAAGAGCAGCACAGCCCAAAAGGCAGCACGTCAGAGCGCGGGACATGAAGCAATACATTCCCAGATTTAAACAAACTGCACAAAATATGTCACTATAAAATTGATGACAGGAAACACAAAATGTGCAAGATTAATAACCACTTCATAATTCCCACATAGAGCCTGAACTGGTAAGGTAAAGCTCGATATAGCCATTTTGAGAACGAACTAAGCTGGGTTGGAGGAGAAAGACACAGAACGTCCTGAACGTGTGTGCTTGTGATCATTTGTTGAGCGGGCGCATGAAGGTTCCGGTGCATTAGAATCAGTCGGTTGACCAACGGGGGTTTAAACTTGGGGCCAGTCAAAGTAACGATAAGCTCAACATACGCGGGGTTAAGGAGCCCAAAACACTTAGGTTTTTCGATTCATTCTTTCCAGGATGAAGTACTTAGGTTTCCGTGACAACACTTTGTAAGGACCTTCATAAGGGGTGTCCACGGTTTGCGAACTGCAGCAATGCGCATAAAAACAAAAGGAAAAGTGTGTAAGTCCGGAGGTCGTGAACATCTGAGAGATTCGGGATTGAACTGAGGAACTGCATCCGTCTGGGATGGGAAGAAATAACCAACAAGAACTTACCTGGACCATGGCATCACTTCCATTCTAACCATCTGCACCCAGCCACCGGTGTCCAGTGAGGGTAGCTGGACACGAATTCTTCGCTGCCCGGCAAATATACATAATCAGAGGAGACTTCACATGGTTCGGCAATGGAGCAACCCATCATATTCACAAAGAATGTTTAGTTCCTGAACTACCAATGGACAGGACCCAGGAACGCAACAGACAACCAGCCAAGGCCTCAGCCAGCAGAAAAATAGGACACAACCTGACTGCGAATAACCGAGCAAACAAGCGTTCAACGAGAAACCTAGCCAGTTACAAGTTGCTATTCAGTGGATTGGCGGCAGTGTTCCCGGACGTGGTGGGTTTTCGTCTGGCAAGCTTTCTCCCTAATAAAGCCACAAATGTCCGTTTAACAACACTGCAACGTGGCCTATGTGACTCGCCACCGAATAAAGTCACAGCCCATACCTTCACACTGGCAGGGCAACTAGCGTCACAATTCTAGATAGGTTCGTTACACTGGAACTTCTACATCTGAGTATACTGTCGTCTTTTTACTTCCTACGATATTTTGACCTTTGCGTTACTTGTGCACGAACTCACTCTATCGGCATATATATCTTGAGCGTGCTCTTCCATTACCCTCCAATGGATCATTCAGGATTCTAACTCTATTATTAGCTGAGGTCCCGTATCTCATGACAGCCAAATTATTGTTTCGCAATTTCACCACTGTACCCTTCCAATCATGGACATATGCACACTTTTCTACTGTCACTGTTACAGTTGCCATAAAATGTTTGGACAGTTGTACATTTCTGATCATGCCTCCATGGGCGTGCCTCGCATAGTCAAGAATAAACTATTTATTTATTTATTTGTTCGCGGGCAGTGAAGTGTGTAGGCGCAGTCGAATTGTTCGGAAGTGTTGGTTGAGAACCTCGGTGTAAGACACAGGATCCATCGCACCAGTGACTCAGGAATCCAAAAGTCATCTAACCTGGAAGTCTAAGAGTGGTACCAAAGACGAGTTCAACGGGGCTGCATCCAACATCCTCTTTGACGATGTTACGAATACCGAAAAGGACAGCTGGGATGTGTTCAGATCAATGTGGGTCAGGTGCATTAGCTGTGCTGTCGGCTTTAAGCTGTCGATGGAAATGATCGACAAGGCCATTCGTTGCGGGATAACAAACAGTTGTCCGAAAGTGGGTCCAGCGCAACAAGGATTCAAGTAACGGAACAGAGTGGAACTAAATTAAGGTCCTCTATCTGTAGTGATCGTAGATGGCACACCGAAGAAGGAAATCCATGAGTCGAAAATTATACTGGCCACAGATTCTGAAGGTATGTCATGTAAAAGATTGGCTTGTGGCCAATGAGTAAAACGGTCAACAATAGTAAACTCGAAAGTGAAATTGTTCGATGGAGGAAGCGGTTCGACTATGTCTAGGTGGACATGTTTAGAACGCGCCTCAGGTGGTGAGAATGTTCCGGTGGCAAAGATAGTTTGCCTGTGTTCTTTGCCGCTCTGGTAGCTGAGACAGTGTTTAGCCCATTGACTGATATCAGAGCGCATACTAGGCTCGATGAAACTATCATTACTAAAATTCACAGTGGATCGAACGCTAGGATGCGATAATCAATGAAAATGGTCAAAGCCGGTACGCCGGAAAGACTGTGGAAGAAGCGGTATTGGCTTACCGGAGAGACATCGCAATAAATCCTTACGTCTGAGTTTAAAACGGGTAAGTGCAAGAATTTCAATGTGGTATTCGTTCGAATCTGAGCGAGTTCAGGATGGTTGTTCTGGGAAACAGACATTTTCTCATGATCTATTGGAGAGAGCGACAGTTGGCGTATGGGAGCACGTGAAAGTGCACTAGCGATCACATTATTTGGACCGTCGAGGTAGCCAGTATCGACACGGAATCGTGAGAGGCAAGCCATTTGTCGTGTCTCTCTTGGAGAATAGCTGTCGGAAGCGGCAAGAAAAGCGTAGAACAAAAGCTTGTGGCCCGGCAGAATTACGAAACCTTGTCCTTCAAGGACGTGACAAGAGTGTTAGACGACCAAGTGGCTCGCGAGTGGTTCGCGACCGAAAGTACTATATCTCGCTTGTGCTGGCTGTAACTTCCGAGAAAAGAAAGAAAACGGCTGAATCTCATTGCCGATTAGTTATTGAAGTACAGCACCGACAGCGGAATGTGAGGCATCAGTCTTGAGGACGAGAGTAGCCTTCTCGTCAGTGTCCAAGTAGCTCAGGGAAGTTTACTGTCTTAACCCCCGCTTCATGGCAACGAACGCTGTTGCAGCTTCTGACGTACTGCTGAACTTTTTAGATTAACTTTAAGTAAATCAGTAAAAGGCTGAAGAGCGGCAGCGCAATTTTCAACGCATATTCTGTAATAATTAACGATGTCAAGGAATTGGCACAGGTTTTTAACGGATCGGGGCAGTGGATATACCAAGGTTGCCTGAGTTTTCTTAGGGATGGAACTAACGCGTTTGCTATCAATTTTGTAACCAAGATAATTGACGCCAGATTGATCAAATAGCCAATTATCTGGATTAATAGTTATCCAGTGATGATCGAAGCGTTCGAATACTTGTCGAAAGTGATTCAAATGCTCTTCTGGCGTGGCACTGGCTATTAGAACATCGTCGATGCGGACAAAAACAAAGTATGGACCACGGAGGACCTGGTCCATGAAGAGCTGGAAGGAATGTGCGCATTGCGAAGGCCAAAAGGTATGCGAATGAACTCGTGCAAACCGAAAGGTGTGATAACGGCAGTTTTATCCATGTCTTCAGATGTCAATGGAACTCGATGGTAGGTTCGCACGAGGTCAATCTTGGAAAAGACGGATTTCCCCGACAATCCCAATGAAATATCATGAATATGAGGGATGGGGTATCTGTCGGAGATGGTAACGGCGTCGAGTGCACAGTAATCACCGCATGAACGCCAATCACCTGACTTTTTGGGTACAAGATGAAGCGGGGAAGCCCAGCAAATGTTGGAGGTTAATCGTATGCTCAAATATACGTTTAGTCGTTTGGAGCTGCTAAGGTGGAAGATGTCTCGTTTTGGCTGGCACGGTTGGACCCGTCGTGACGATATGATGATGAACCTCGTGCTTAGGCTCGGAAGAGTCGATATCAGAACGGACCCGAGAAGGGAATTGTTGGATCCACGATGAATTTGGCTTAGTGTCTGGTATGAATACTCGAAGTTCGAGGGAAGTGACTGGGGTAAGATGGCAAGGGTCAGTGAGAAAAGTGCTGTCACCCCGTAAATTCCTGCAACGTAGATCGACAACCAGGCCGAATTTGCTAAGGAAGTCTATTCCAATTATGGATTTCTGGACAGCTGCGATAGTAACGATAAAAGGAAATTCGCGTCGTAAACCAAGGCTTGGGTGCAACCGCTTCGGGCGGTATACCGCCATCTTGGTCTGGTTATCCACCTGTAACGTAAGTCCGGCTTGTTACATAGCGCGTTTTTCCGAAGAGCGTGGAATAACGCTGATTTCTGCGCTCGTAAGGACCAAAAAATGAAGTTTTCTCGTGGAGTAGTACACGTACAGAAGGCGACTGAAGATTGGACCAACGGCGGCCTTCGCCATTATTGGCTGGCGTTGGCGTTACCCGGTTGCGAAAGCAGAGTTCCCTTCGGATATTTGCATCCCGGGCGACAATTACGTGCTGCTTAACCAAAGCGACGATGGAAGTAGCAGTACAACGGCTGACGTGAGCGTGATGTGCTGCGGTGCGGGCCACCAGGATTTCTTCGGTTAGTAGTGCGTTTAGGTCGAATAGCAGACATGTTGAGTTCTAGACGGGAGATTCCATCGTTGATAGAATCAAGCGTAGTGCTATGGGATGAGCTGGCTCCGGTTGACGCAGCTGTCTAAATAAGAGTATTCTTAAAGAAACATACGTGCTATTTGGCCGCAGCTTCTGCGAGCTCTTTCAGAGTGGTATCGCCACTAAGAACTGATAAAATCGCTGTGAGGTTTTCAGGAGGACATTTAGTCCAAAATTGCGGAGTATGGAGTCGTCGAGTTTCGACGAACCAGCCAGTGAACGCAGGCGTCTAAGAAGCTGAGCTTGGGTGCGATCGCCAAGCTAGACGCCGGAAAGTAACTGTTACAGACTAGCTTCATCAGACGCATTGGTGCATTTAAGGATAGTCGCTTTAAGTTTAGCATACGGCACTTCTACATGCATAGGATCAAGGATATCCATGACTGCAGAGGCAATGGAGACAGGTAAGCGCGAGACGACGTAAGAGAACATGGAGGATTGTGAAATGATCTTACGACATCGGAAAGTAGATTCTACCTGAATAAACTATGCACGTGGATTAAAAAAGTCAATGGTAGAAAGCGAGAGTTCGACGGAATTGTCAGTAAAACACATGGTCATATATAAGTAAAAAAAATACGTGTTCTCAAAAAATAAGGCGTGGTCACTAATTTATATAGCGGTCAAAAGAATATGAGAAAAATTTACGTCTCTTGGTAAAGGTAAAAAATTTAGACATAGTCAACTCACAGACTAATCACAGTTGAGTTCAAGTAGTAGGTTGCGCTATGCCTGTGGCACACTTCGAGCACAATGGAAAGACGTTCGATACTAATTCCGAGTATACTATCCGATCCTTAAACCGACCTGACGGCAACGCACGCACAAGCAGCACAGCCCAAAAAGCAGCACGTCAGAGCGCGGGACATGAAGCAATATATTCCTTAATTTAAACAAACTGCACAAAATATGTCACTATAGAATTGATGGCAGCAGACACAAAATATGAAAGATTAATATACACTTCAACTCCTACGAAGCGTGGACGTGACTGCTGCTCGCAGATGGGCCTTGAGCACCAGTGTGCTTTCGCACTAAAATTTCGTGTGAATAAAAGGGTCAATAATTTTTATCGGGACCCATGTTTCGGCCTAACAAAATAGATTTGGACAATTTTGTTATATCCAGAAAAGTACCCCGTGAAGTATACTGATAAGAATGCGAATGTTTGTGCGTCTACATTAAGCCCGGCAAGTAGCGTGGGCCGCGCGCCATTGCCAACGCCGATCTGTATACCGGTTGATTGTCGAAAACAACTGCAATATGCAGTAGGTAGAAGCCATGTATTTTCAGTAACGTGTCTTAAGGTTAATCGTTAACCTTCGTCGCCTGCTCGCATAAACTGTGAAGCGCGTACCTATCCACGCAAATATTTGCCAAACCATCCGGTAGCGTTTCACCGGTCGGTAGCAAGCAAATGCGCATAAAATAAATGGTGGACAATTCCCTTTGGATATTAGCGCCTAGTGTCTCTTCTATTCCAGTAAACAAGCATTTATATTATTTATGGTAGTTATACCTTCAAACTGACTCAGTATGCAGTTAAAGTTTAAAACATGGTTTAATCTGTGGGAGCGAATATTTGTTCCCTTACCATGGGTGAAAATGGATGAACGGCTGTCATTGTGAAAGATGTGGGTGCATATATCAGCAAATCACCTAAGAGGTTTATGTGCAGCGCTCCTGAGCTAGCAGCTAGTAATTACCCGCAGAAAATAGAAATCAAACGCTTGCATTCTTATTAATGGAAAGGCTTGATAAAAACCCAAGGTAAGTCGGCTTCGATAAACCGAAGAAAAATTATTTTGTAGTAAGCCATGGTTCAGATGCTAATAAGCGGTTAAAGGTGTAATTCTTCATTAAGTTTTTTATTAAAACGCCTACTTTATGTCCATTTGAAATATTAACCGGTGGCACACTGCCATTCCGTCCTCTGTTAGTACTGTGTTTCGGTCGCGTAACTGTCTGTGTTCTGTTTAGGAGCTTGACCCCATCTGCCGAGTCACGCGATGGTTTGTGTACCTTCTTTTATCTCTAGATTGTTTAGGTACTTTTAGCAGCTTCAGTGTGCACAAAGGATGGGAAAGGTTTTCGCACGTTACGCTGTATTACTAATTAGTAGCTTTACTTTCCAGGCAGTTCGTCGAAATGACTAAGTCCCGAATCGAAGGTCTTATCGCCACATTTCCTAAGCTGCTTACTGAAGGCAAGTTCTTGTTTAGTTTCTCAGCTTAACAGTTGTTACAACTCGCTAAGCAATATATTTTGGCTACTTGCTTGCTTTTGAGCTAGGCGTTGCTGTCTGTAGGCAAAACAAAGAACGATGGACTGAACAGATTTATGCCGGATGTAAAAGCAGTTGCTTTACAAGTCCCGCAGAATTTTGGGGGTAAAACTACAATTATCAAGATAAGTGGGTTGAGCGTTTATCTAGCAGCTCGTCTGTTGAATAATGGTAGTGTAAGTGGGAATTGAATACGAACGGGGCAAACTGAGGACTGTTATGTTTGTTGTGCTCCGTAAGAAAAGTAATTACAAAAGCGTCGTCAGAGTACGTAGCTTCAGTACGTCGACACAGTGCTAACATGCTGCCAATGAGATGCGACAGATCTTTCGCCTCTGAAGAGCGTTGTTCGGTACTAAACTTGATGTCTTCCCCTTGTTTCCTTGGTTTTGCAAAACGAAAGCTTTGCTTTTCGGTGGTTCTGCCTCAGGGTCTTACGGCAGGGTCCCGTTGTTGATAGTTTCCAAGTGGTGTAGATTGTGACTCGGTGATGGTGTATGGTGCAAGTATCCAACGTCTCAGTTGTGGGGTGTCTACCTGGAAGAAACCTATTGTGCAGGTGAACGGTCGACGTTGGCAATGTTATTGCTTTACAATTGAGGGCATAGAGGAGGCAGTACAGGGACATAGAGTTGTCAGTCGGAGGGACCGTTCGGTAAAGTTAAATAAGCTAAGAGGAGTGTTGCGAGCTAGTGTGTCAAAAGTAATGACTACCAGCTAGCTTGGCGAATGGCCCAGGTATTTCAACATGATAGGCCAGCGTAGCAACAGGCAAACATCTAGACGTTGTTTGAAGACCTCGGTATTGTGTGCCGAGACAACTGTTTCAGACAGTTTCTGGACGAAGGCGATACGCACACTAAACCTGGTTTTTCGGCACTGAAGCTGACTGCTGCATGTTATGAGCTTGCGCGAGCGCCCTCTTAAATGGTCTGTGCGGACGCGAACGAGTAAGTCGGTATTAGAGGGCCTGTTGGTAGTCAGGATAGGATGGGCTAGGATGAGATCACGAAGCCTACGATATTTCAGTGGGAAGAGTAAGGACCGCAAGGCGCTTTTCGTACGAGAGATGGGATAGTCCCTCCACTCTCTTAGTGACTCTGCGCTTTACGGTTTCCAGCAGCCTCGTACTTCTTCAAGTACGACGTGTGAACCAGTATATTGTACCTCAGCAGCGGGCGTACCAAAGTTCTCTAGAGGTGGACAAATTTTTCTCTAGGGAATGACCCTAATGCACGCCCAAGGAGGGCAAGAAACGCGCTGGCTTTCTCTCCATTGTGTATACGTTAGCGCTTGGGCTGAGGTCAGTGAATATAATGGTGCCTAGGTCGCGTTCCTGGGATGTGGCTTCAAGACGCACTCCGCCGATAGTGTACGGAGTACCCGCACATTGTCTGATGTGCATGACCGTGCACTTGACGTTGTTGAACGGAAGCAAGTTTGCCGAGGCCCAGAAGTAGGCGGCATCCATTTCTCTCTGAAGACGCGCGTGATCGCTTGGCTCGCGGATAGGTCGCCATATCCTAGCATCATTCGCACAAAGCAGTATATGGCTGCTACTGGAAGATAGTAGGTCATTAATGAACAAAGTGAACAGCAGGGGCCCGAGGGTAGATCTCTGGGGCACTCCGGTCGTCGCGGCCAGAGCGCTGATGAGTGCGCCATTTACACGAATTTGATAGGTACTTGGCCCGGAGACTGTTTGCTGGTAGTTTACTTAAGAGGATTGCGTGGTTGACCCGGTGATCTGTCTCCTTCTTACACAACATCCCACCAATTTCTAAAGGTGGAACATTCACGGGATTCTGCTACTGTTGCCGTGCTATTTAAACGTGAACTTAAACTTAGTACAAATCAGGGGTTCGTACGCACTTAGATTGCTGTGTTCAGGCTTGGGCATCGTACCTTAGAAATGATATCACTTCTTTAAAGAAAGTACAGAATGACCCCTGAAATGAGTAAAGTCCAGCGTGCAAAGTCATGTCGACCGACCAGCTTGTTTACATTAAAACGCATCAGATTAGGTGTCTTGTATGCACAGACGTCCGGCCAGCCGTCCCATTCGTGTGTGTTTTTAGTTACTCGCCGAAGCAGAGGTAAATGTAAAAACAAATGGCGGGATGTGTCTAGATATTGTGTTAATTAATATTATTCATCTTAAGCGTCGCATTTCCTCGCCCGTAAGTAGTTTTTAGTAAAGTCGTAATTTCAGTCAGCACGAGTGGCAGTTTGAGTTTCTTAAGTGACCGCTTTTTGTGCACTACTTGAACAGATTTGGGACGAATGTCGGTCACTTAAAAGCATTTTTGGTTTGCACCAACGGCTATAGTATTGCATAATTACAAATTGGGAATTAATTTCTGCTTAATACTATCGGTATTTCTCACAAAGAAAAATGCATTCGCGGTATATGGGAAAGGTGCGTTAGCAATAATATTTCTGAGTGACCAAGTGTCCAAATGGGACGACCAGGGGCACAAAAATTGCTCACTCAGGGGACTCCAGCGGACACTTTGTTTACTCGTGCTATGCGGGCGGAGACCCAAAGGAAACGCTGACCACGAGATTAGTAACCTCTAAAATTGGGTCGGCAGATGGCGCTATCTTACTATTATTTTTGTTGTTATTATTATTGTAATTTTATTGGAATCCGGCTTAATAATCTAGTGCCGTTCATTTTTATACTAATCCATCAAACCGCGTCTTATATCTGTTGAGAACTCCATGTGAGCAAGTAGCGTTTTCGACGCCTTGTTTTGGGCACAGGAAGAACAAGGGAACCGCTCAGCACCGTTATATCACACCAGGCTCCGATAGCTGGGCCACGTATTGCGCATGCCAGCACATGAATTCCGCGACGTGCATCGTTTACTCGCGGGAAACGTAGATAGAAGAGGAGGAGAGGTGGCCAAGCGATGACTTGGTCGGGTGGGATAAAGGCCCTTAGTTCGAAGTTGGCCTCGGTTGGAGCCCCGGCTTCCTGCTTGAGAACCCGAAGAACGACGAACATGTTTGGCTAGATACACATATTGACATGGCAAGGAGCCGACCTCAATGGCGTTTGTGTTGTGCGTTTCTTTGTCCCTCCCTCCCTCTTAGTCCTCCCCTCCAACCACGGTCTGCTGTACTAGGCATAATGTAACTTTGTTGTTGTGATAACGTGAGTTAAGGTACAGGTGGATCCACCATGGATTCACGAATTATAATTGCTCATCTTCACTGAACTTCGTGCAGCTGAAATATCTTGCGTCTTATGGCCGCATTTTACAATTATTCAGCCGCACTAACTTAGGTACAGTTCGTAACGAATCGCGGTCCCTACTGAGGTTGCGTGTCGCAGTTCGTTCACCTAATGGGTGCTTCAAACAGCCACTGATATGCAGTACTCAAGCTGACATTTGTTCGCTTTGTCAAGGAACGCGTTCGCCCTTATCCGAGCGCACTGTCTAGTTGCCAATCCATGCAGAGATTTGCCCTGAATTAACTGCCTTAACTTCATAGTCCCGGGATTCGAATGGAATCGGGGACCTTTGAGGGAAGACGTAGTCTACAACCAGTAGGATTACTCTAGTTTATTCATCCATGTACACCACATTTGGAGTTAGTGTATTAAACTTTCGGCATTTAGATCTGCTGCTTCTTTCCAACTGTTGACTAGTTTATCTCTTACTTTTCATTTAGGCAAGCAGCACACGTTTGTCGAGACCGATTCCGTCCGTTATGTCTATCAGCCACTGGAACGACTGTACGTCTTGTTGATAACCACAAAGGCTAGCAACATTCTTGAAGACCTGGAAACGCTACGTCTTTTCGCACGCATAGTGAGTTTTGTTGTCTACCTTTGTTTCACGTGGCGTCTAGCTGATTGATCTCTTCCGACTGGCTGCGTATCCTTTTTGGGGGTTCAACTGACTATCACAGGCTACCTACAAAGTACCGTTGCGAGTTTTTCTTTCAACGATTACTCTTGCTATTTACAGTCTTGTGTATGTACTGCGCAACCGCTACATTATTCCCTTTTTTCTAAGTCTCATGTACCAAACCTAGGCGCTTGTATTCTGCGCATATACCCCACCTACGCCACTTGCGTTCTCCTCATTACCGCTTTCGGTGGTGGGCCTGGCTGCACCTTAACTTCACTCGAGGGTGGACTGACTCTCTTTCAAACCATTGGAACTACTTCAAATCCCACTGGGGCTCGCTGCACACTACTCATCTGTGTATGGGATCAGAGATGGGATTAAGTTCCCATCAAGAGAACTGCCATATTCCATTGACGGAGTCCCGTTCATTTGGTGTCAGGTGGTGGCTTCCTATCCTGGTTCGGTCCATCCGTACATGAGATTCTGGTACACAATACCCCGTATGGATTTTCAGGTGCAAGTGTTACTCAGGTACTCTGGAATATATCCGTCTTCAGTGGTGAATTCGATATACGCATGCCTCTACAAAGTATTTCCTAACACTAGGCAACATTCAGATGCCACTGCATTTCCTGTCCTTGGAGAGCCGCAATATGACTTCTTCATACCGAACATTGCGAATTCAGCAGGGGCAGTGGGGACAAATGTAACCCTAACCAGTACTCTCAGAACGAATACGCCGTCTTTTCTTCGTCTCTTACGGACACGACCAATTTTGACTGCGTGGACCAACCTATTATCGGCGCGCCTTGGGAGTTAACAGAAGCAAACTCCACTCATACTGCTAGTACTGCATTCCGCATCCAAATCTGCGTGGTTCAGCTACGGAAACAGCAACATTGCCTGTCTATCATAATAATTCTTCTGCACCGACCCAGCCGCTGGTTCATTGTCTTTGACGTACTAAAAACTTATTAAGACTAGTTTTTATCTGACCGATCAGTCTGCAAGAGGAACCCCAAGTGTGAACGGATTTATATACTGTGGCAGACATCATCAATCAAATACATCGGCATCCCGCCGAATCATTCCTCTTATCCTCGAACTCTCTCCAGTAGGTTGTGTGGCGCACGTTACTTCTGTGTCTATTTCTAGTGCATATACATCTCCGACTCCTTAGCGTTCTACTATTAGTGTGTTAATATTCTCCGCTGATGGCTCGTTACCGTCTTGCTTTTGTGGTCCTTTTATACCACGAACATTTAACACAGTAGTAGTGCTTGTGTTTGCATGTTAAGGAGTGTGCGCCGGCTCCTTTGATAAAACGTGGCTCCCATCCACATGCCTCCCGGTCGTATTCCTTCGGGTTAACACTGAATATGGGGTGTGCGGATGGAGCTGTTGGTGGTGCAGAGCGAGCCACCCATGGTCCTTCTGTAGGTGTAGGCGTCCTGTGGCTGGCCGCCGTGACAGGCAAATGCGAAACCGGATGCAGCCAACCATGTGGAAGGGTTAGGAATGTTTGGAAGGTTTATGCGTTGTGTGGGCATAGATCTTCCCGGTTGCCCAGGCGGAGGAAGAGAGTTGACTTAAGGGACCCGACGCCGGGCTTTTGGTCATGAAGACCTGACCCGCAGTGCAGTGGAGAGATTAACAAGGACAGTTGACAGCCGGATAGCTCATTCGCTTTCTGTGTTCAGCAGCAGTCCACAGGGAAGCCAGTGGCTAACAAGGTTGTTCATCCGCTCTCCGTTAGGTATTCACTTCTGTAACCAGAAGTGAGTAGTCACTGACCCTATAGCCGGTCACACCGGTGGCCGAGGGGTCTGCGTGCCTGTTTTGCAACCATAAGGTCATCGGCTCAAATCCGCGTAGGTGTGGTCGTCCTCGCGGTATACACAGCCCGCGCGCGACGTGGAAATCACACGGCAGCGAAGCATCGTTACAACCTACAGCTGCTACATTGTTATTAGTATAGACGGTTACATTGGCTTTGACAGATTTTGTGGTATCTGATGGAGAACCAGGTGACCAGCCCAGAACTCCCCACAGTAGTACCCGCATGTGGCCCACACTGTCTGCTCTTAGTCACCTGAACCAGAAGGTATTATGAAAATGCGGTTTGGTTACCGGAGTGAAGTACCGAGACGATAAATGGCGATCCTGTTGACGGGTCTTTGTAATTAAGTGTACGCCGTCGTCATACGCTGATAGCTCATCTGAACTAAATCTGAGTTCTTGTTCGCTCCCTTTTAGTTACGTTGAATTGTCTGATATGATCAAATTCCCGTCTGCAATGGCGTCAGATCACGGTCGATGCTACTGTTTACTTTTCTCTTCGTATATGTTCCCCCGACCCACTCAATTGAAACCGACGATGTTCGCTATCTCTTACACAGTTAAACATTGGCCCTAACCTTTCGGTACTTGCTCCGTTTCATGTGTTCCTCTTTCAGATTCCGGAGTACGCTTGTGGTACAGATGAATCGGATATTTTGAATAATGCATTTCAGCTCATCTTTGCTTTCGATGAGATCGTCGCACTTGGCTATCGAGAGGACGTGAACCTGGCACAGATACGCACCTTCACTGAGATGGATTCACATGAAGAGCGTGTGTTCCGTGCTGTTCAGGAGGTACGTACCACCATGTGTTCCCTCTTCTGTATTCCTCCCTTCGTTTTCACGAATTGTTTTGTCATCTAGATATTCCGGCTCGTGGCTTTAAGGATCACAAGCTTGTGCTTTAATCTGAGAGCGCGGGTTTGAGCCTGCGTAGGGACAGATCGACCGTCGCGGTATCCTCAACCCACGTACGACTGGTTGCTGCGCGGCAGCGAAGCGTCGGTACTGCATACCGGCGTGCTGCTGATGCTTTTCTTTTTCATCTTAAGTTTCGGCGGATTTCCATCACACAAAATGTTGCTTCCTTAACTAAAATTGGTGCCACACGTATGGTGTTCTTTCGGTGTAGTTCTTTACAGTGGGCTTGCCATGAAACTTCCTCACTTTTTATCTTGTAATAACATTCTCCATGAGAACGCCCTAGAAATAATGTGTTATCATCTGACTTTTGCTTCCGTCCTCAAACCTTCATTTCTTTGAGTATGTATTTGGTCGCTAGTCAACACTTTTCTGCTTCTCACTTGATGGTTTGCACCGCTAAGATACATGAAATCATCTAAATCCACCTACAGCTCCGTTGAATTCAGCACTCTACCCAAAATGTCAGTATCGCTTCCACTTGATCGACGACATACGTTTGGATGGCTCTTGCGCTGTATGGAGGGTTGCCCTGTCTTCTGCGCAACAATGACGTGCAAATCATTGGAGAATGGTTGGTTCTAAATCATGTCTGGCTACTTAGTCATGTCAATCGTCACCACCCTTCTCCTTGGTCCGGTGATCTTGCCAATGCTTCGTAATGGGTGTAGGGTCGGGTTCCAGCTTTACATGGAACAGGTAGAATGCGCATGTCTAACGTTTCCCGAAGCGGCGAAACGGCAGGCCAGTGTTTTCCCGGGTGTTTGGCGGACCTCTGAGCACACCTTTGGTGAATACAACTTACGTCATCTAAGTCCTCCCTACTACTCCATTGTTGCCTTTCCTAAATTACCGCCCTGTCCTTCGCACGATTATACCGTCACAGTTGGCTTGATCAGGTTATGCGCGTCTTTTGCACATGCGGGCTCCTAGCTCAACGGGCCCTGGTTCGAGTCCAGCTGACCTCGGTCCTTAACTAGGCTTAAGTATCCCTCGTCCATGTGAGATGAGTGGCGTGCGCACGGTGTCAAGCAGCTTTTGCTTAGCACAGCTTCGAAGTTCTTTTTATCCACCTTGCTTTACGGTTTTATTGTAATCAGAACCATGTGTAACTTTTGAAGGCATGTCTACCGCGTGATCTCCTTTCCATCCATTGTCCTTTAACGGCCACTTTCATCTTTTACTGTGATGTGTACCTGTTCGTGACATCGTTTTCCTGTTTTAGTCCAAAGAGCGCGAAGCAAAAGAAATGATGAAACAAAGAGCACGTGATTTGCAGTTGGCTCGTCAGGAGGCTGCAAAACGCGGACCTGGGAGTGGCGGCAGCTCATTGAACACACTTCGGTCCTACAAAGGCAGTAACGCAGGTTTCGGGAGCGATGATGCCAGATCCGGTGAGTGCTAAATAGCGAAATGGCAGGTTAAAACAAGCACTCTGTGTTGGCGTGAGATCACTATTTGACATCGTGTTACGCGAACTAACGCTTTGAAGTTGAGACGCTCCCATTTGCGTCGTTAAACAGTAGAGAACGGTAGCGTATATACAGCGTTGCAGGCTTATATTTGCAGTATTTGTTTAGTTCCTACCAACAAGTGTCCGTTATGTAACTGCGTATTTTGTGAATGTCGGCATAGATGCTCTTTCTGAGCTTTTAACGCAGTCGTATCGCTGGGGTACTATCAGAGGGTTCCACACGAGGCGTCTTCGTCTTCGTAACTGTTCAACAGCTTGGATGTTTGCTAAGCTGTTGACTTCAGCTCCGTTGTTCGGCTATACCCTACGCACCGAAGTGCAGTGTACTCAACTGGAAACCAAACAAAATAACTCATCGGAATGTTGAAGTAACTCAACGGAAGCGTTCACCATTTGATGCTAATAAATGTCTCAGTTCGGTTGCAAATCATGACGTTCCGGCGCCGTTCCATGTGGTCTAGTTGTATAAGCTGCTGGCTAACAGCTTGAGACACTAATATTCATCAGTTTCGATCCTGTTATGGATGATGAATATGTACTACTGACGAACCTTGATAGGACGAACTGACTGTTTAGCGCTTTTCCGGGCATTGGGACTGCTGTCTGGCTGAAACTACCGCAAAGTACCCACAATTTGTGTGTGTGTGTGTGTGTGTGTGTGTGTAACTGCGCAGCCCCCATGACGACGATTATGACCCATACGGTCTTCGAGGGGTCCTCAGTATGATTCGCCTGTTCTAGGCGTGCACAGAGTCAGTGGTGTATGCTCGTAATGTCACAAGATATTTGCTGTGTTCTTACTGTACAGTGAGGCTGGACCTTACCGTGGTGCGATGGTTTGCGTGCCTCGGATCCATTGAGCTATGCTAGGTGGTGCTTTTTTTGCACCTTCAGAGCCACTCATACCAGATTGGTCAATGGTTAGAGGCCAGACAAACTCAGCCTCCTGGTCATCCAGGTTGGGGGTTAGAATGGGGGTGGCTGCTCATTTCATAAGACGGGCTCCGTAGTCCAGTGCCAAAACCCGCTGCCTTGCGGTAAGGTTTTTGAACCAAAGGCTTTGGTTGAGAACCCTACTTGTTCTCCTGTCTAGGCCTGGGCAACCTGACAGTATTTTGCCCACGCAATACAATGAAGCTTTCCTACAATTTCTTGATGCTCTGGCCGTCGCAGAGGATAATAAACGGCGCCCTATCTGCTGCATCGAGCAGGGTGGATAGGGGTATGGATGCTACTGCTCAGGCCTTCCCGTCTTCTTATACCCCTTCTTGCGCTTCTTCACCCTTATCGTCCCGCTCCAACTTTACTTATATCCCCCATTTTCAATCCCCCAATTCTTGGCCCTCCCCAAGCTTACTTCAATAGTCGCTTGTCCTCTAATTTCAAATCACACACAATCGCAGAGCCTCGCTCCAATCCAGTCGACAAGTGCATGTTCAACCAAGCGGACAACGTCAGTTCACCCGTTTGCCTTTGGAGTCCTCGCGTCCCGCTAAGACTGGCATGCCTCAACGTGCGCACTTTGCTGCAGATTGGCCAACAGGCAGCACTTTCCCGCACACTAGAGACCCTATCGATCGATATTTGTTCTTTATCAGAAACCCGCCTGCAAGGTTCGAGCTCCGTGCTTACCCTGAGATCCCCCACATGCGACACTGGCGGCACATTCTCATTGCGCCTGTCTGGCGATGATGCAGCTTCAAATGCCGGTCAAGCTGGCGTCGGCATAGTTTTGCGTCTCCGGGCTGAAGCTGCACTGATTGATTGGATCCCAGTAAACAGTAGAATGTGCGCCGTTAGATTAGCTGGTTCGTTCCATGCTACGAAGTCGCGCGGGGACAAACGTTGCCTGTTTGTCATTGCGGCTTACGCCCCTACAAACTGTAGCACTGATCCGGTAAAAGATGATTTCTATCAGCAACTTCACGAGCTCCTTCGTTACAGAAGAAGCACGGATACTGTGGTGTTGGCTGGCGATCTAAACGCCCAAATCGGAAAATTGTCCTCTGATGAGCTTCATCTGGGTGGCCAACATGGTGTGGGCTGTCGTAATGATAATGGTAAGCGATTGCTACAGCTGTGTGAAGATGCTCGCCTCTTTCTCGCGAGCACTAACTTGCGACACAGCAACCGCAGAAGCGTGACTTGGCGGCCACCAGCCTCGGGCGAACCATGGACGCAAATCGATCATATCGCGATCAGTTACCGCTGGAGCGGCTGTGTCCAAAATTGTCGCTCGATTTGGAGCACGAGCGTGGACTCTGACCACGCACTTGTACGTGCCGACCTCCTGGTGCGTTTCGGTGGACGTCCGCAACGTCGATGTGAACGGATTGACACCAGTCAGCTGGCGAAGCCAGATGTTCTGAATGTGTACCAAAGTGCGCTGACATCTGAGCTGAGTAAGCGCGCGCTAAACTCCGTCCAAGATCACTGGTCGCGTATTCGTCAAACGTTACTGTTAACAGGCATGTCTTCATGTGACAAAGCAGATTGCCAAACCGGACATTGGGTCTCTACACACTCTCTGGAACTTATGGATGCTCGCCGACGTATTCCGGCTGGAAGCGAATACAATGAGGCTAGCAAAAATCTCAGGGCAAAACTACGTGCTAGCCTTAGGAAGGACCGCGAAACCTGGTGGTCTCATCGTGCCTCTGAGATGGAAACAGCCGCTGCCGTTGGTAATCATCGTACGTTATTCCGTCTGATACGGGAAACAGGCAGCTGAAGACCTGGTGTTAGCGAGACCATACGCGACGAGAGTGGGCAGTCGATCCACAGCTTGTCAAAACGTTTGGAGCGTTGGGCTGAACACTTTGCAAGGCAATTTAAACAACCTGAGTTATCGCTTTCTTCTTCGGGCATTGAGTGCCCGTCTCATTGGGCCGTCTCCTCGGATCCGCCCTCACGCGCAGAAGTCGAACGTGAGATCAGGCTGTTGAAATTGCATAAGGCCGCAGGGGCAGATAGAATTCCCCCAGTCCTCTTCAAATTCGGGGGACCTGCTTTAGTAGATGATCTACACGAGTTGCTAGTAAAACTTTGGGAGCAGGAGACAGTCCTGACAGACTGGAACCGCTCCGTCATTGTCCCAATTTTCAAGGGAGGCTCCCGTTTGGAATGCGGCAATCATAGAGGGATCAGTCTGATTTCGATTGCCTCTAAATGGCTTGCCTCTGTCATTCTCTACAGACTGACTGGCACTCGTGAAAGCCAGATTCGTGAAGAGCAAGCCGGATTTCGTCGAGGTCGGGGCTGCAACGACCACATCTTCACATTGCGTCAAGTGTTGGAGCACCGCCATGTTTATTGGTGACCCACCGTTGTCGTGTTTCTCGACATAAAAGGTGCCTTCGACTCAGTCGATCGATGTGCCCTTTGGGACTGTCTGCTGAGGAAAGGTGTGCCTGATAAATATGTAAACATTATCAAAGCGCTGTACGTGCATAGTTCGGGCAGGGTGAGGGTTTATGGCAAACTCTCGCCACCCTTCAGTATCCCCAGCGGTGTAAGACAAGGATGCCCGCTGTCACCTTTCTTCTTCAATTTCGCTATTGATGAAGTCATGGAAACAGCGTTCGCTGGACACGACCTAGAAGGTGTGGAGCTACTTCCTAGTGAGCGACTTCTTGACTTGGAGTATGCGGACGATATTGCCCTAATCTGTGACAGCCCCCAAACATGCCAAACAGCACTGGACCGATTAGCACTGGCTGTCAATCGTTTTGGGCTATGCTTTGCTCCTTCGAAATGCAAAGTACTTCTCCAAGATTGGCAGGGACCCAACCCTGCGCTAACGCTTGGTGGTGATCTGCTAGAAGTCGTTCAGGAATTCAAGTACCTGGGCAGCTATATTAGCACCCGTTGGATTGAAGATGAGGTTACGAACCGTATAGCAAAAGCTCGAGGTGCTTTTGCCAATCTCCGCCACCTGTGGCGCAGACGCGACATTACTCTCGCCCTCAAGGGCAGAGTTTATAACGCAGCCGTCCGTTCAACTCTCCTAAACGGCTGTGAAACCTGGCCCATCAGGTCGACAGACATGAAGAGGCTCGTCACATTCGATCATCGTTGCCTTCGCAGCTTAGCTCATGTCTGGTGGGAACACCGCGTGAGCAATGAGCGTGTTCGACGTTGCGTATTTGGTGCAGGAAGAGCGAGTGAACCGCTCAGCACGATTATGTCACGCACCAGGCTCCGATGGCTGGGCCACATGTTGCGCATGCCAGCACACCGACTCCCGCAACGTGCGTTGTTTGCGCGTTGTGGGTGCGGTTGGAAGAGGAGGAGGGGAGGCCAAGTGATGACTTGGTCGAGAGAAATGAAAACCCTCACTTCGAAGTTGGCGTCGGTTGGTGCATCCCGACTGCCTGGTTGGGGTCCTAAGGACGGTGAACACGTTTCGTTGGACACACTTGCTGATATGGCTTGGAGCCGGCATCAATGGCGTTTGTGTTGTGATTTCCTTTGTCCATCCCCCTTCTGTTTAGCATCCCCCTCCAATCACGATCTTACTTGTTAGGCATAATACGAGTTTCTTTTACGGCAGCCAGCTTTTAGCTCTCCGGAACGATGTCCATCCGTTACTGGGGACTCAGCGGGCGTGTCACTGTTTTCCTTTTCTTGTCTTTTGTATTGCGGCACAATAGCTGAGGTGTTTTCCACCTCCAGCTAACGTGTAATGATGATGATGATGACCTGTGCCCACCGCTCAGGAAGACATCTTTCACGTACTTCTTTTTGGTGACACTGAAATAGGCACAACAGATCTGACTGGTGTTGGTATGGCACTAAGTAGCAAAGCTGAGGCTACATTGTTAGACTGGTTTCCTGTTAACGGTCGACTGTGTGCAGTTCGACCTCGAGATCTATGCAGGATCAACAGGTGTTGCGAGGGGAGACGCAACTTGTTTGTGATGTCCAATCAT